TTGCGCCGGGTAGTTTAATGTTCGGCTCCGCCCGAACTTAGACTTTCTTACTTGTTAATTTTAAGGATGTCTGGAGATATTTGTACAGAAATGCCACGTATTCGAAATTATTTATAATTATTAATTCTAAGAAGGCACAAAAAATTCACTAAAAAGCGAAAGTTAAAAAACATTTCAAATAAAACAAACTACTATATGCTATACTATGCATACTATACTATATACTATAGTTAGCTCGAAGAGTGTATGCAATTTCTGCGTCTTAGATAAGGTGCAAATTATTTCAATAAAACTCAACATAATGGTTACTCCGTATAGTGTTTTTTTAATCATATATTCCATATCCATATTGTTAAAATTAATTTAACCTATCATATACATTGAATTTTTAAGCAAGTGGCAGCCCTGTTAAAAACAGTTTCAAACTATTACCTTATTCAACTTTTCAGTCTGACACCAATATTGTTACACATATTTCAGCTACCTAAATCCCTTTAATTAAAGGTGATTTTAATTTTGAAACAGATGGTAATCCTCCCACATGTTGTTTAGAAATAAAGCCTTTTCAATGACATCTCGATTGATACCCATATTGTAGTATTAATTTAACTTAATTGCATTTGATTTTTTAGCAGGTGGCAACCCTTTTTATGTTCTAACCTAGATATAAACCTTCTCCGCGGCGATATGAATACGTAGGCATCAATGTTTCTACAATCGTAACTCGATACCATGGAGTTATCTATGTCAAACTTGAAGAAACTTTATATTCGTTGTGTTGGTCGAATACTTGGACATCATCCCACTCTATTTACTTGATTTTAAAAAATTGCAGTTTTAAATATTGTAACACTTCGTTTCTGAACATTTTGAGTTGCAATTTTCATAAAAATAATTTTGGCCGCCTAAATCGGTCAAATATCCATATGTGCATTGGAAAAAATTTAGTACTTTCCCCTTGTCGGTGTGATATTATATCTCTTTTCTACCAATGGCTATTTATAATAAGTGAGAAATATGTCTGTTTTCTCTAAAAAACAAGGCAACTAATAATTTTTATGCTCATACTACGCATTGTTGTCATCACAAACTTATCAGCACTAATCAACAAACTACTCATTGTTGTCATCACAAACTCATCAGCAGTAATAAACAAACTCATTGTTGTCATCATAAACTACTCACCACTAATAACCAAACTCATCATTTTTGTCATTGCGAAGTCTTCAGCACTAATCAACAAATTACTCATTTTTCTCATTTTAAAGTGCTTAGTACTAATAAACAAAGTACTCATTTATATCATCATAAACTCCTCAGCACTAATCATCAAAGTCCTAATTTTTCTCATTATAAAGTCCTCAGTACTAATAAACAAACTACAAATTTTTTTCATTATAAATTCCTCTGTACTAATAAACGAAATACTCATATATCATCATAAACTCCTCAGTTCTGCAAAAACCAAATAANTAGCACTAATTATCAAAGTCCTAATTTTTCTCATTATAAAGTCCTCAGTACTAATAAACAAACTACTAATTTTTTTCATTATAAATTCCTCTGTACTAATAAACAAAATACTCATATATCATCATAAACTCCTCAGTTCTGCAAAAACCAAATAAGTAGAAAATCAACAATTTTATTTTTACTAAAATAATTTATTTAAGAAAATTAGTTTTGTACACTAGAATACATATTTATTGTTTTCATAATACATACCTATATTTACAAGATTTCTGCTTTTCAAGTTTCATATTTAAAATTTAGTTTATTTATTTTTTTTATACTTATATTTAAAAAGCTAATGCTACTGTTTATACTCCTTTTGTTTTTTGATTATTTTCTAGAACTACAGCTATATTCTTATTTTATTTATGTATTTTTAATACTTAATTCAAAAAAGTTAACGTTACTGGGATTTTGGACTTCATATTCACTTTCTATTATTTTTATTATTAGAATTAATTTTTTTATTTAGCAGCTACATATCTTAATTTACGGACTTTATTTTATTTTTAAACAATAATATTTCCAAACTTAACGCTACTATTTACACTTAGGGCGTTTACTTATCTATTTTAAAGTATGGTTAAATCATAATTTAAGCTTAACTACAAAACGTTCTGTAGAAACTTAACTAAATGTACTTTAAAATAGATAAGTTAAGAGTCCTTATATTATTTTTTTAGTATAAAATATTTTAGAGTTGTTATATTTACGTGTGTTAATTATAATTATAATGCAATCTTTTTCATGTTTTATTTATGTTATATTAATACCAGTATTATTAGTGATATCATTTACAAACTTATTATATAAAACTAGATATTCTATTCTATTCAATACAATAAATGTATTCAGTATCCGGTGCATATGTTATGTACACATCGTTACTTTAATTCATAAAGGCCCTAACCAACACTTTTTTCGAAATACCGTTTTTCACAGATTTTGGTAAAATACACCTTCAATAAAAATTTTAAGGTCTTAGTAACAAAAACAACGGACTTACATGCTTTTTTTTAAAGTCCACAGATATGCATTTGCAAGATTATATGCACCAGATTCTGAACACCCGTAATGCTTCTAAAAAACTTAATGTTGCTATTTACAGTTTCTTACGTATATGTACTTATTCTACACTGTTACTTAAATTTTTTTATTGATATATATATTTTTTATTATTTCTATTATGACTTAAAGTTATGTATTTTCGCATTAAAGTGCGAACGTCCTCCTTCGATTTTTCTGGTAAAATATCTAATAAATGAATTTATTGTTATCAACTTGTAGATATTATTTTTTCTGTTACATAGATACTAACCAAAGAGGAGCTCAGTCTCTTTAAGACCAACAAGTGGGAACTTGCCTGCTCTTCGCTCTAAATTAAAATTTACCACGGTGTCATCTGTGAACAAGCCATGCATAACTCCGTCAACTGTTCCTTTGGTGCCCTTTGCTCTTGCTAAAAGCCCAAACTACATATCGAAGAAAGAGTGTTAATTACAAATTAGATATACTTATATCAATATCATAATGTTACCATTGCGTCAGGGTAAGCTTTATTTTTAAGCTTGGTTTCAATAGCCTGCACTTGCTCCACCGATGACATGGGAATCATAGTAGCTAAGTCAGTTTCTCTTTTTTGTGTACATAAAAACAATGGTCGGAAACAGGCGTAAAAGCATAAACAGCAAAAATAAAATAATTTGTGTGACAGTTTGGATTTAGAAAGGGAGCTGGAACGGAACAGGCAGTGTTAAATCTTATTGATCACATATGTGAAGGGCTTGACGCAGGGTATAGAGGTGTAGCTGGAGTTTTTTTCGATTTCTCAAAAGCGTTTGATCTCGTAGATCACTACATATTAATTAATAAACTAAGACTCTATGGCTTTGATGGAAAGACGTTGGATCTATTTCGCGATTTCTTATCGAATAGACTGCAGTTTGTTCAGGTTGGTGATGCGAAAAGCACAAAGCTACCGGTGAAATGTGGAGTTCCGCAAGGAAGCGTACTTGGCCCACTTTTATTCCTCATTTACATAAACGATGTCAAGAATATTAGCTTTAATGGCAAATTGTTTATGTATGCCGATGATTTATGTCCAGTTTACAGGTACAATTACTCACAGGTTTTAAAAACAAACATTGAATATGATGCGGCTATTTTGACTGAATTTTCTGAAATTAACAAGCTTAAAATTAATCCTGCCAAGACAACATTTGTAAGATTCAAACCATATCATTGTGGTAATTATGAGAAAATGGAGATTTATATTGAAGGTATTCCAGTGGCAGAGTCTGACATGGTGAAATATTTAGGAATTGTTTTGAATCATAATATGCTATGGGATGAACATATAGAGTCGTTGAAGTCCAAAATTTCCTCTGCTATTGGAGTTCTTTATAAATTTAGGAATAAATTTAACATTTCTACAAAATTGCTTATTTACCAGTCACTCGTACATTCTCATTTGACTTATTTACCATCTGTTTACGGTTGCAGATTGAGCAGCTCATTAAGGTCACTTCAATCAGCCCAAAATAAAGGCCTGAAACTTGTTTTCAATCTTCCGTTAAGACATTCTACTTTTGACCTATACAATAACTATGCTAAAAATATTCTTCCAGTAGAAGGTTTATACAAGCAAAAGGTTTTAATTTATATGTTTAAGGCCATAAAAACTAATAGCCATTGCCTTATACAGTTTTCTCAAAACATAGCCCAGTCCCAAAGGAATACTAGACAAGCCCAGCATTTAAGATCTGTAAGATGTCGACTTGAGTTAACAAAACAGCGAATTTCATACGCTGGGCCACACGAATACCATAATTTACCATCTTACTTGCGAGATATACAAGTTCTTTCAACATTTAAGCAACAAATAAAAAAATATCTGCTCGAAAATTTGGAAACACTTCTAATGTGAATACTGTTAATAATTAATTACTGTTAAATTTTGCATTTTATATTGAATTTATTTTTCTTTTAAAATATTTGAAGTATTTATTTCCTTTTTTTTTTATTATTATTTTTCTGTGTAAATTAGTTAGACGTAAGTCACGCTGTCAACACTGTTGCCTCTACAAAGCCTTCTCGGCGCTGAGGCTTAAATAAGACTAGTTATGAAAAAACACGATTACTACAGAAACGAAAGTGGAAACGAGCTAGGCGATGGGAATCGCTTACCCTTTCGCTTCAAGAAGGCCTTATTTTAACATGGGCATGTCATTGGCGGTAAGCCCTTACCCGCAGCATTACTTTCGAACGAAGGGAGAACGCATGGATAAACAGAATCCAGAGAAGCGAACAAAGAATGCCTTACAGAGAAACTAATGTAGAATGCCTAGATAAGTACATACTTATTTATATTAAATTGAAATCTGAAAATGTCTTAAAAGATTAAATTAATTAAAATTTGTATAAATCAGTTTTTATACATACATACATATGTATATTTAGGTATTCAGATTTTCTTAAATATCGGTATGTACATACATGCATATTTAATAAAGCTTAAAATTGTACTTCCTCACTCTTGTAC